ATGCCAATAGAGAGATAAAAAACAATATCGACGGTGGAGCTTCCAAACCACGTCTCGTTTTCGGTGTCTTAAAATCTTTGCTTACATATTATTTTTATTTTTTTTGAAGGAGAGCAATCAGCATCATTCCTTGGAATTTCCACTAAAAAAAACTTGCCTAGCAAAGTGCTTGCTTCGACATTCATCAGTCATCATTTAACGAATTGTATGTGATTTTGTGCTCAACTAGTGGCTCATCGACCATTATTCTGCAAAAAGTAGTGTGGACCTCGAATTTAACTTTTGCATTGGATTGTTATAGTGCGATGCCTCTAAAATACACTATTCCTGGTTCTACCGCTCAGAAGAAAATAATAAATTCCCGGAAGTAAATTAATATACCATTGTAGAGACAGGGCGATTCTTGAAAATTGGCAATACTGTTTTTCCTGTTTTTTGAGGTAGAAAAATCACCTAAAATCGATAATGCCAATGGCTCTAAATGGAGGGAGCAGCGTTGCCAAATTGCAGAATCGCTCCTGTGTCGCGATGATGATTACAGAGATTTCTTTTCACTGTGGCTGACCAATGTAAATTCTTGAGGGCAACTTTCAGACAATGAGACGAAACTAAAAACCGAGAGGTCCTACGAATTTACATATACCAGCAGGCTGATTGTTGAAATTGGTAGACAAAGCTATAGAAAAAGAAAACAAAAGGTATATGGAGGGTGCCTATTGGTGGAGGCGGGTGGTTGCAATGGACAAAGAAGGTTGGCGATAGAGGAACCAACGGCACCCCACAAGAGACCCTACAGTCAGTCCATCATCTTATCCCTTAGTCTGTAGGAACCAGCCACTTCAACCAATAGGATCCCTCCATGCCCCCTATATGTCCTCTTTGTCTACAGCTTTGTCTATCAATTTCAACAATCAGCCCGCTGGTTCCTCCCGGCGCCGGTGAAGAGATTCGGACGCTGTCGGAAGAAGACCCGCGCGCGCGCGCGCGTCGCGTCGGCGACGCTGGATGCTGCCGGAACAATGGGATATAAATACGATGGCGCGGCCTTATCCCGCCTCGTTCTGTATTGCTAATTGTAAGCCCGGCGAAAAACAATTAAGTGTACACAAGTTGGAGCATTTAATGTTAATGCCACCCGCCTGGGCCGCCTTGGCCGCCCCGGCCGCGCAGAGCCCCGGCCACGGCCGCGTTGTATATTTAATTTGATTAAAATCAGGCCGCAACTCCGACTCCAAAGCATCGTTGCCATCCTATTCGGCAGGGAATACATGCGAAACTGTGCTAGAATTAAGCCTACACGTGGGGAAAATTAAACTTCATGAGGAGACGGAGACAATGTGATGTGTTAAGCAGAGTGGGTTATTATGCACCACGATGTATCCGTGTCTATTGATCAAAATTTCATGACTGAAAAAATAGGCGTTCTGCACTAAAATACACTGGGAAAAAAGTCGCTTGGATCTAGAATCCAGACTCTTAAAAACATTGACAAGAAAAAATACTCTTGATTCAATCAGACTTTTTGCTTGAATCGAGAGGAAATCCGCCTAAATCAAGATGCTTTGCTCTTCAACTCAAGAAAAAGTCGGATTGAATCAAGAGTATTTTTTCTTGTCAATGTTTTGAAGAGTCTAGACTCTAAATCCAAGCGTTTTTTTTTCCAGTGTATGGCTGATTTTAACCCAATATCGATCAAACTGCGAATGAACTAAAAAAACGAGGGTTGCTGAGCCAGTATCATTTCAGCAAAATGTAATCTTTTCGGTTTAAATGCACGATTTTGTGTCTTTTACGCTTGGAAAGCACCAGAGAGGAAACACTTGTGAAAAATGATCTGGTCACCATCCGCACCTATTTTTCTTTTTTCCGGTGGCTTTTTGAACCAAATTGACTTTGGTTTCATCGATTTTTGTACCAGCTCCTTTTCAAGACACAAAAATTGATTCCATAGAACTAATATCTGTCCTTCTGCTCACCCTGTTACATTAGCTGCATTATCTGACAAGGGTGTGACAGTGTGCCCGGAGTAGCTTTCGTGTTACTTTACCGTTTCGTGGTTATACGGGTAACTTGAACCTGCGGTAAATGGTAAACGTTTTGCCAGGCACTATCTCGATTTCCACCACACACCCCTTCCATTGTTGTTAAGTTTCTCCATAACGAGTTTCATAACTGAGGAGAACCGTTTTAAGTGAGAAGGGTATAAAAAAAGTTATCAACGTGCCTCTGACAAAACTTTGAATGAAAAGACATTTTTAAACTCTCAGTATTATAACTTCGGAAGGACGCTTTTTCATCTTGGCTTTTAGCGACAATACGTAAGTACAAGGAGGAATTAGGTAGCGGCTAATGGGTAGAGGAATCTATTAAAATTCAGTCATTGAAAGGTCATAAATCAATTAAGGAATCATTAAAACCGAGAAACTTCGATTGCAAGGAGCTTTTGGACGCATTATACCACCACGGGGGAAGAGCGCGATTCAGATACAAGTTTATATGTTTGTTTACATTTTAACTATGACGTAGCCACTAAATCCGCCCATCGGAAAGAAATGATTTGAGGAATGCTATAAATCAACACTGAAAAATAAATTACGGGCTATATAGACATTCTGTCCGTTTCGGGCTCTGAAGCTGAAAGTTCTCCGAGTGCTGGAGCGGTAGCTCCGATTGTTCCGGGTGCTACGCCCGGAACTTGCGGCCTCTGAGCCCGAAACGAGGATGGTACATCTATGTAGCCCGTAAGTACGGCTGCCAAAGCCGGAGTTTCGTTTTCAGTGGAGGATTCGGCGAATATCTGGTGCTACTGGACAACGGCGGAGGCAGAAGCGCTGGTGCAAAAGGCTACCGCGATTATCGTGATCCTATGAAAATATTAGGTTATTGTTCGGTGGACCGAGCACTTTGCACAGGTGCCTTTGCGGGTCCCCGTGTGCCGTGTCTTGCTCTTCTTTCATGCGGCGATCGCGGTCCCTTTGCGCGGCGCTGCGGTCCCGCGTCTGCGCCCTTCCGCCGCCGCCGTGACTCCAATTATTCAAACGCGGAGAGGCAGTCTTGTTTACTCTAGCGGAAGAGTCACGCCGCCGCTCAGGCTCGGAAAAGCTCACCGGCGGCGCTGCCCGGGAAAAACCGCTTATTTGCCGACGGTTTTCATTGCTGTTACGATGTTTAGAAGTACGTTAGCACTGGAAAAAAAACCACATTGGATCTACGGTCCAGACTCTTGAAAACATCGATAAGAAAAAATACTCTCGATTCAATCAGATTTTTGCTTAAATCACAAGGAAATCCGCTCAAATTAAGAGGCTTGGTTCTTGATTTAAGCAGAAATCCGATTGAATCAAGAGTATTTTTCCTTGTCGATGTTTTTAAGAGCCTGGACTATAAATCCAATGTGTTTTTTTTTCCAGTGTAGTGTTGCGCGGAGCACACAGTAGTACAAGTTGTTGGCTCATCCGGTGTAGTCCTACGCCATCTGGGTTCCAAAAAAGAGTTTTCTTGACGCAATTTAAATTTGGATACATCTATTGACACGGCCAAAAATCCGGAATAGGTCCAAGAGTATAATCTCTCAGAGAAATGGGGAAACAAAGGTAAAACGTTTATTAAAACCGAAAAAAAGAAGAAAAAAGCTTATAAACTTGATAAATATTTCTTGAGGAAAAAACTTAGGTTTAGGTCAAACGTTTAGAGTCCAGACTCTTCGGGTATCTTTAATTGATAAACCTCCACTAGGGACGGAAAAGTGGAGGGGAAAAATTGAGGTGAAACTGGTTGAGTTAGTGATATACTAATAAAAATTCTACGGTCAAATTGGTTTATTAGGTATGTCCAACAAAGGCTCTCCTACATAATATTTTTCTGACTCTGCGATGTAAAGCCCTTTTGTTTAAGATTTTGATGGTTTTTCTCCAGAGCTTACGCCCAAAAAAATCAAACCTCGGCTTCGGCAACCACATAAAAGAAGACAAATTGAAAAGAGGAGGTGAAAAAGAGGTTCGAGTAAATGAAAAGGAATAAACATTGAAAATTATAACCAAACAATTCGACAAAAAAGTGAAATTTATCGCAAGCGAGCGAGATAATTCTGGGAGGAAATTCGAAAGGAAACGGCGGCAGGCGAATGCGCTCGAAAAATTAGAAAGGCCGAAAAAGGGTTAAAAGGATTATTTCTGTGAAATTGGCTCTTTTCATGATGGAGGAGAATGCAAAAATAAAAGCGAAAAAAGAAAATTAGAGGACTGAAAGATATTATTTAGGGCTCATTACGTTTAATGAAACTGCGCCGAGTCGGACCCCGCGCGCCGCCGCCGCCGGGGGAAAGGGAAAGCCGGGAAAATGGGAAAAGGGACTATGACGAACGGAACGAGTGATGTGTATCTAGTTGTCACTTATCCCTTGTCAAGGAGGGGGGCAGCGCGAGGGGGTTGATTGATGATGATACATTGCAATTCGAGAAAAAGGGACCGGAGGAAAAGAACCCGCGCTTGCCAATGGAATGAGTTCAATGCTTAGTCGCCCGGAACTTTGAAAAGAAAATGCTTTCCGCTCCAGCTTTCATGGAAACAACTCTTCCTTTACACAAGCGACGGGGTAGAAGAGACTTGGACTATGGATCGCAAATGCATGTTGAGATGGTCGAGAGCTACGAGCTCCCAGATTGAGGAACTCGACGTTCTTGGAATTCTCTCTCGGAAAAAAAGTTTAAACAAGTTTTCCCATTCTAAAGTCAGGGATCGGTTGAAACTTAAAAAGCTTTCCATTGATGCCTACAGTAAAATGTATTCACGTTCTTCTTAGAGTGAGAAATTGTGAATTTTTAGGGCGTTGAAAATAAAGAAAAAATTTGGGACGCTGAGTTTTAGATATTGCTTGGAAAGCAAAAAGAAAAGAAGAAAAAAGTAAAAAAGAAGAAAAAAAATGTTGATGATTCTGGAGCGATAAATATTTTTAGAGGAAAGAGAAAAATGTTCTGAAGATGAAAGTCACAATTAACTTACCGTTAGATGTTGAAATAACCACGCTCTTAGGATGTTAGTGGCAACTTTTGGAAATATACCCCGCTTTTTCTGGTTTTTCTTCCCGTTCGTATCGTCGTCTTCTTCACCAGTCCCTTCACCACTACCAATACTCGCATTACTAGCATCACCTGGAACAAAAAAATAATGAACGTTAGTCAATTTTTGTAGAAAATTTTATGTGTTGTATGAATGTTCTACCTCTCATAAGAGAGAACGGTTGGAGTGACCAAAAAATAGCACATTTTGCATTTCATCGAGAATCTGCATGCCCTGAAAAAGAGGACGTGCGGCCTTTTCAAAAGACATTTTATTTCCAATGTTCACCATGAGTAAAGCAACTCTCGTTTGGGAACCCATGAACACTAAACTTCTGACAGAGCTGAGGCCCTAGATCGAGTTACTGCCTATAACATACCTATCGTGCATGCGAGCAAAAAAAAAAAAAAATGCATAACCACCCAGGCGCACTTTGGAGTTGACTCCCTGGCACACCGCTCCATTTCCGCCCTCTTGTTTGCATTTATGACTCATCAGCAGGCGATGAATATTACATTACCCGATCCATCACTTAGCAATATTTATCTAATATTTTCAGCTCGCGCGGTCTGTGTTATCGGCAGCTTTCGGTTTGTGTATTGAGGGGAGGCGGCGCGGGTGCAAAGTGTGCTGTGCGGGTGGCATACCACGCGCCTCCCGCGGTTTTACCGCTAATAGATGTTGAGAGATTTCCGAGCATATGGTAATCATCCCCGGCGACCCTAACCCCACGGCTCTGCGTCCTGAGGAGCAACTCAATGAAAGTCGAAGCAAAATGTCATATTCTCAGATACCTACGCTTAGAGTACAGCTTTTTTATTACTTTCTTTAAATAATCATTTTCTTCTTTTTCTCGGACTTCTTATGCGACTTTTGATCAATTGGATAACATTTTGCAATAAGGAACCACTATCTCTGGCTCTCTCATAAAATCACATATCTGCATAGGGAAATCAATGGCATGTATGTTGTTTCTAAAATAGCCAGAAATAGTGGTCCCTTATTGCAAAATGTTATCCAGTTAAATAAACCCTTTTTGCGTGAAAATCCTTCTTCCGCTGTATTGTCTCTACTGTTATGTCATGGTAGCTTGAAGGGAATGACGATTGGACACTTGCAATATTAAAAATGAAGCAGTCTAGTAATGAATGAGGAAAAATACTCCTCCAAAAAAAGGAAGGGTGTAGCCTTTTTTAGCCAGCTCATTAAAAAATATTCTGAAAAAAATCATTGGCGCACTCTCGTTGTCTCATTGCCAGAATATAGGAACACAATAAATTCGATTTTCTCCTTCTTTTTTATTGATTTACTTTTTGTGAGGAAAATGCACATTTGATATTCTCTTCGGTGTATAAAATATTTGCATGTATTGTCAGGAACGGGAGAGAATTTAATGGCCTGGGTTTGGACCGATACAAGCTCAATTTTCTGCCTTTTCTGCTATGACTTCCATCAGTCTTGCTGATCAAACTCTGATAAATCCAAAGGCTGTTATTCAACACACGTGTGTCATACATCGATCCCGCGCACAACACTGTGGGAGCATTACATTTTAACCTGAGCGACGCAACACAAGTCTGAACTCTGACTGGTCACGGATGAGGGGGAGGGGGAGGAACGCAGAGTATAAATTATGCAGCAATTGAGTTAGCGTTGTCAAACTGAAGCTAAATCCTTCAAATTTAACTTGAAATCGCGTACGAGATGAGGATTCTTAGCAAGAGGGGAATATGGCATTGGCGGACGGAGTTGAGGCTGGACTCATACCTGAGCCAGTTCTTATTCACAGCTATATAAGCCCGATCGAGGGATTAAGTGAAGTCGTTATACCACGCTGATGATAGGCCGGTCGAGGTCTCCCCCTGGGGGGCAACCACACAAGACTGCCATGCTGAGATAAAACCGCAGATCTGCAAATAGTTCAAATTTAAGATACGCGGTTTCGCAGGAGGATGGAAAGAGTCCTGCCGTGCCGTACCGGAATGTGGCCGAGCGCCGGACAGCCAATCATATTTCATCCACCTCTGCCCCCGTCCATCTTGGCAACCGAGTCGGGCATATCTCCTGCCGGCTCGAATCGACAACCCGGCCCCCCGCCCCCCCTCCCTCCCCCGCGAGTTTTCCAGTTTTATCTCACGATCGGGCCTGCCTCCCGCGGCCATCATTACGTTGTTTTCTGGACGTTTCATCTCGTTCTTCGTGCCCCGAATTTATTACAAAATTAGATGGGTATATTATCAATGAACCGAGTCTTTACGCTGATCACCGCGCCGAAGTTCATTTTGGTGTTTACCGCCATTGTTGCTAATGGGAAGTTCATGTGGTCATCGACGGTCTAGCGGTGTAGGAAAACTTTTCTCGCGCTTTATTGGTAAAATTATTCGGGTTTTTTTCAATTTACGTGTTTTAGTTGACCGAAGAAGAAGGTTTATGATTACAAATTAGGTAGAGTAGTCATCCGAAAGAATACAAAAACAATGCATGTCTCGCAAAAATTCGACCTATGGGAAATCAGTGATTATAAATAGGAAAATTTCCTTTTCTGAGAAGCAATTTCTGGACTTAATGGAGAGGAGCGGAACACAAATAGGAAAAAAGGCGTCAAGAAACGAGGTGAAGTGCGAAAGAAGGAAAACGTAAAGACAGATTAGTTTCATAGAAATTATTCGTAATTTTTTTTGGCGATAAATTCAACAAAACGGGAAATTCCGTGACTGAAGTTCCGCGTGAGGAAACAAGCATAATGTTCGGCCGGAAAAGTCCTGCCAGCACTGGAGTCCCCAGGGCTCGAAGCGGTCCGAAGCCCCGCAAGCTTTAATTTAAACTTTAATACTGAAATGTCCGCACGGGTAATGGCTCCAATAAATTTTTTCCGGCGGCAATTACAGTCAGTCAAGAACAATTAAACATCCTCCCTCAATTTTCTTTCGCGTTTCCATTTTCACTCCGGACTCCCGCCGACCGGAGCGCTCCTCGAATCGCTCGCGTTTCGAGGGACGGGAGAAGTGTTGAGTTTTTAACCCTTCGTTTTTGTCCGCCTGGGTCGATGGAAACGTATTCCTTCCTTACCCAGAGCCTGCTTTTATTCCTAACCGAAATTTGCGGGCTATAAGAAAGTAACATTAGTAGGAATTTATGGCACGAAGTCTACTATGTAAACTATGGACTGTATGTATACTAAGCTGCCGATTAAAATAAATCTCCTGGTTAGTCCCTCTTAAAAATGTGTAAAATGTTATATCATTTGAAAGCTTCTCTATATCTGTGTTTCATATTTTGAACCCAGTATTACTTCATTCATTTAGATAAAATTTGTAAAGTTTAGAAAATGGACAGATTCTACCAGAGTCTGCCTACACTGGAAAAAAACACATTGGATCTAGAGTCCAGACTCTTGAAAACATTGACAAGAAAAAGTACTCTGGATTCAATGAGAATCTAGCTTAAATCAAGAACCAAGCCTGTTAATTTAAGCGGATATCGTTTTGATTCAAGCAAAAATCCGGTTGAATCGAGTGTATTTTTTCTCGTCGATGTTTTTAAGAGTCTGGACTCTAGATCCAATGTATTTTTTTTCCAGTGTAAGATACTAAGAGGTTACGTCTCGTGCCGATTTTTTATTTTTTATTTTTTTTTAAGTAACAAGCCATGCTTATTTTAACTTAAAATTTTAAGAGAACTCAGGTTAAACAAAATCCATTATCAAAATTGCCGTTCATCCTTCAACACTTCTTTCTCGAGCCCAAGACGATGAAATCGGTGTCGGTAGGTTAGAAAACTTGTAAACAAGCGAATAATCCGCTGGGCAGACAAAGACTCCTGACTTTCACCGGGGCGTACGAGCTTACGGAGCGGCTATTGTTGGAGGTGGCAGAAAGCTTCACAGCCTCTCGACAGGGCTTTATCAATCACCCCAACTTCCTCGAATGACCCCTCCCCCCTCGACAAGGCCGTGTCACTTGCACGCGTACCTTGCGCCCAACACACGCCTTTGGGACGCAGGGAGCCCCCTCCCC